CAAGCCACCAAAGTTGACAAACATGCAGACAATCCTCAAATCACCGAATTCGGTGAATGACAGGGGAGAAGAAAAAATTGTACGTGGGCCCCACCGGCGGGGCCCCCCCGAATTAAAATATTAGTGCATAGTGTCTTTCCAAACACTATAAATAGGTCCCCAATCTCTTAAGGAAAACTCATCCCAGAAACAACTCCTCTTATAGAAGAACAAGAGAGAGAAAAGAGAGGCTTAGAGAAAAGTCTTTGTGAGAGAAAATTGTGAGCAATTTTCAGAGTGGGATTGAGTTGTGAGAAAAATTGAGTGTTGTAAAATTTCTCTTCATAGTGAAAGATCTGCAGCAGCCCGTGGACGTAGGCAATTTTGTGCCGAACCACGTAAATCTTGCGTGTCCCCCAATTTTGCGCATTTAATTTTTCGCTTTCTCTCAAATCTGGCAATAAGGGAATCAGGGTAATTTTCCAACAACTGGTATCAGAGCTCTGGTTGTGACGTCTATCAAATTTCTGCAAGGTTACTATTCACGTGAATAGTAAATTTCGTGAATAGTGGAATTTTGCCGGCGGTACTGACTTGTCGGCAGAGGTATCTTAATACAAGGTGGTTCGCAGAAATTGTCAGAAACGATCCAGAGGAAGTCAGATTCGAGTGGGAGCGATGGCTGCAGACGAAGGGAAGGTAAAAATTGAGAAGTTCGATGGTGCGGACTTCGGCTTTTGGAAGATGCAGATCGAAGACTATCTGTACCAGAAGAAGCTGTATCAACCTCTCTCGGGAAAGAAGCCAGATGATATGAAGGATGAAGAGTGGGCTCTCCTCGACAGACAAGCCCTTGGAGTTATCCGATTGACGCTATCCCGTAACGTTGCCTTCAACATAGCAAAGGAAAAGACCACGGTAGGTCTTATGGCGGCTCTCTGCAGCATGTACGAGAAGCCCTCTGCCTCAAACAAAGTTCACTTGATGAGGCGGCTGTTCAATTTGCGAATGACGGAAGGCGCATCGACAGCTCAACATCTCAATGAACTCAACATAGTCACAACCCAGTTGAGTTCAGTTGGGATTGAATTTGATGAAGAAGTACGAGCATTGATACTTCTTTCTTCTCTACCAGAAAGCTGGAACGCTACAGTCACGGCTGTGAGTAGCTCATCGGGAAGCAACAAGTTGAAGTTCGATGATGTTCGTGATCTGGTTCTTAGTGAAGAGATCCGACGGAGAGAATCGGGTGAAGCTTCAACCTCCTCAGCTTTACACACGGAGTCTAGGGGAAGAACTTCAGAAAGAAGTTCAAATCACGGCAGATCAAAATCTAGAAGGAGCAAATCTAGATCAGGAAAGAAAGACTTCAAGTGCTACAATTGTGGCAAGAAGGGTCATTTCAAGAGGGAGTGTCGGGCACCGAAGAAAAACACCGGCGCACAGGAGTCTGCCAACGTGACCGAGGAAGGAGGTGATGCTATGATTCTAAGCGTCAACAGTCCAATTGAATCATGGATTCTTGATTCAGGGGCATCTTTCCACTCCACCCCATGCCGAGAAATCATGGAGAACTACGTCAGCGGTGATTTCGGAAAGGTACATCTAGCAGATGATGAAACCTTGAAGATTGTTGGCAAGGGAGACATTTCGATTAAAATTGCCAAACCAGACTACATTGGAAGCTGCAAGGGAGAGACATATTCCTGGTCTTAGAAGGAATTGATCTCTGTGGAAAGCTGATGGAGAGGGTATATTGTACAACGCTCTCTCGGGTCATGAATGGGAAGATTACAAGGAGCACTCGTCATGCCTCGAGGCTAGAAAGTGGTACGTCTCTATATAACTCCTAACTTAGAGAATATCATTGCAGTAACAGATGCAAATGAAAATTCAAACCATGGCACCAAGGTTGGCCATATGCAGCGAAAGAAAGGGATGAAGACACTTCTGTCAAAAGGGAAGCTACCGGATCTGAAGAATGTAGATGTCGGCCTATGCGAGGATTGCATCTTTGACAAACAGAA